GACCCTCGTGTCAAGACTTACCTACCTTGAGGCAAAATTGGCAAGGCTAAGTCAAGAGAATGTGGATCTGAAACATGAGACAGTGGTGCTACGACATGTTGTGGGCGAGGACGCTACTCAACGTGGTGTTGATCGTCTCAAGGTAAAAATTCCTGAACCTAAGGCATTTGGTTATGCAAGGAGTGTACGTGAATTGGAGAATTTTCTTTGAGATATGGATCGGTACTTTCATGATATTCGTGTGCAAGATTAGAAGAAAAAAGTAATCTTGACTAATATGTATTTGAGTGAAGATGCTAAGTTGTGGTGGCGCACTCGTGTGGCTGAAGATGAAAATATGGGCAGACCAAAGATTGAGTCGTGGGGGCAATTTAAAAAGGAGTTGAAGGATAAATTCCTTCCTAGAAATTCGCCTTGGATTGCTAGGGACAAGCTGAGAAAGTTGAGGCAAACCGGATCAGTGAGAGCATATGTTAAAGAGTTTACTTCTTTGATGTTGAGCATAAGCAATATGTCGGAAGAAGATAAATTGCACAACTTCATGAGCAGGCTGCAGTAGTGGGCACAATTGGAGTTGCGTAGGCAGAATATTCAAAACCTCGCAAGTCTTTTGACGGCAGTTGATGCATTGGGCAATTTTCACTTGGGTGAAGAGACTTCTACTACAAAGTCCAACGACGAAAAGAAGGACAAGCAAAAGGACAATGAGATACGGGCTGAGGGTGACACTATGGCATAGCAAAGGCATATAGGCATGGGGCAGTGATGCCAAGGCAAGGCAAAAACAAAGTGGGCAAAGGTAGACTAAGTGCAACAAAGGCATGTGCGCAAAGTCGACTTGTCATGACATTGGGGCGCGGCAAAGGGCCATGTATGTGGGCATTGGCAAGGGGTATATGTGGCTGCAATGCACGTGAGAGAAAGGCATTGGCGCCTGATTCAAGCCAAGACACGCACATGGGCAGCAAGTTCTAGCATTCACAAAGTCAAAGGCGGTTACAAGGCACATATTGTGCACATGACGACGGTTGGCTTTTTGTTCAAATCTGGTAAGTTGTGCTAGAATATTTTTGTAGCCATGTTTCCATTATCTTAGCATGATCTAACATGATCCTAGTAGTTGGGGGATGCCAATTACAGTAGGCTAAAATAGTGGGCTGTGTGGGACAAGTGTCTAAGCCTAAGAGCGGCAAGTGTAAAGGCAAAGGGCTGTCACATGTTCTATGAATGTGCAGCACCCTTATACTTGTAAAACGTGTGGGAGCACATTGGAGAGTTAGGAACGAATTCCTAAGTGTATTTTCAAGAGTGAAAACGTCTAAGGCTAAGAGTAGTCTTGTGAGAAAATTTGAGGGTCAAGAGTGATCTTCTTGTACACGACATTGTACTTTTAGTTTGAGTTTCTTTGTATTCTTGAGTTAATTACTATGTTGGGAAAAGAATTTCATGTGTATTGTGCCTTGTGTTCTTTTTTATTTTCCGTTGCCTTACTTAAATTCGTTGCTTAAATCATTCCTAAACTTACTACGTTGAAAACTGCCTAAAAATATTCTAAGACCAAAGTTGCTGTAATTTTTTCTAAGTGTTGTAAGAAGGCTGAAGTTGGGCGTGAGGCCTGGCTACCGCAAATGCTAATTTTGGCGGACAAAAATCAGGCTTGTGACAATTAGTAATGTAATGTAGCAATTAATTATAATACGAAAGTTAATAGTACATTAATTCTTGGTGGATATTTGATCCATTGCCCTAAAATTGAGTATGCAAAGTATCAACCAAATTATTTGTTTACTTTCTAAACATAAAAATGAATTTACAATTATACCCTTGAATATTTGATTTTTATAGTCTTTTAAAAAAGAGACAAAAGGTAGCTTTGTCCTTTTGGCGCTTCATTCATGTATAACTTATACATGAATTAGCTATTCCATGCATGTTGGTGGTGGATTAAGATAATATATCAATTGGTGTACAAAATAATATATTAGTTATCCTAGAATCACAGCCAAACAATATATTAATTCAATATAAATTCGTATACCATAAATAATGGCCTTATACATCATATCAAACAACCCACAAGTGTTCGAGTCCTGTCCCCGAGAGACGTATTTAATTCTTGTCATGTCCTTTCCCTATTCTTCTGCTTCAATTTGTGAAAGAAGATCAAAGTGAAAACCGCACAAAACCACAACTGTAACATTCCCATGTTGTAGTCCAGAGCTATGAGAAATGAAATAGTGAAATGGGGATTTTGGTTTTAGGTTAGTTAGACTTGTAATAAAATAGCTAGCATAAGATATGAAGGATGGTCACTTATTAATATAGCAGATTCTTCTACACTTTATTTAATTGAAAGTTCAAATACTCCACATGTTCTTTATTACACTTTTGAATTTTTTTTATAACAATTAGGGTGTTTTCGGTACAGAAAAATATAGATTGGTCTACCTTGATAAATTATATTCTAAGTTAGATTTCAAATTTTCGTTAGATATAAAAATAGTTCTACCTTGACTAATTATTTAAAATATAGTGAAATTACAAAAGTGTTTATATTATATATTTCTAATTTTAAAAACCAACGAATCTTGCAACACTTTATTTTTTTCATCAAAGGATAGATAAGATAGCTTCAAGTGGTTGTAGTTGCAAATAAGCACCTCGCTTAAAAATAATATTTAAATTTATACAATATATATTCCTTCCGTTTCAATTTATGTGAATCTATTTCACTGAGCACAGAATTAGAAAAGAGAGAAGATTTTTGAACTTGTGGTGTAAAATGATGCTTGGGGCTATAAATCATTATATAAAGATAAATTATTTTCAAATAAGGAAAGAGATGACCAGTTGAATATATCTTTTTCTCAATAGATTCATGTGCATATGTGACGATTTTCTTTTAAAGCGAACAAGTGAACTATGGACACATTGAGAATGAAACTTCCATATTTTCCTAATTGAAGATTTTAATATTTGAAAAGCAAAAGAAAAAAAAAAGGCAATTGCAAACTTATTAATAACCTGTAAATAATTAAATTTTAGTATATTTCCTTAACAACCACGCTCTATAACAACATTTCGCTCCAGCAGACAAGTTCTATATGAATTTCTTTTTATGTTATATTCTTTTACTTCTTTATAAACAACATCCATCATTATAGCAGTACACTTTTCGTAAAATTACTTCTCTATTATAATTATTTTATTGGATACATAAAGTTTATAATTTATAAGATCAAATGGGGAAATTAAAACGTTAAAAATTCTTGTGAACATGGAATATAAAAAATTAAAAGATGAAGGTGTAGACCTTTTTATTCTGCCATTTTTGCAACATAAAGAGATTGGAAAATATTGGGTAATTTTAATCTATAAATGTCGAACAAATATCAAATATTATTATAGGTGTATAACAACTATTCCCTATAACATGTAAAAAAAAAAATCGGAACTAACGAGATTATTATATAGATATTTAAATGTATAAAACACAAAGACATATATAACAAATTAAAAAACACAAATGAAAAAGAGATAATACATCATGCGATTATATAATTTAATATCTCATGAACAATAAATTAAATTACAGAAGTTATAAATAACCTTTAAATTGGATTAATTGTTTAACGTATAGACATCTAGAAGGATAAAACGAAAACAAATACTGCAAAAGAAAATTTTATATCCATAAAAAGAAAGAAGATAGGCTGAGCTTGAGAGTTGGAAACTACATGCATTCTTTTAAATTACTGTCCAACTGTGCCCTCTCACTCTATTACAAAATTCTAGGTTGTGTCTGATCACCAGATTAAGACCATTGATAATAATGATAATAAAAGAAAAATAAATCAATAGCTTGATAAAGAACACTCCAATCCAAATGTATAACTTTCAATGAATTCACAGTTGGATCTTATCCTAAAATTTAATATATAGGAGTTTAATTCTTACTAGGTAGAATTTGGACGAGTAATTAGCCAGACAAGATACAAGACATGAGAGACCAAAATAGTATATATTGGTAAGCAATAGTCCAAAAATATCAACATCCGGGCAGATGTGGATTCTATTTGATAAGCCATGCATGCACCACACTCCTTTGGCCACTCTACCACGGCCATCACCTTCATTCTTTTGTCAAAAGTCCACCTTTTCCGATCACCTTTCACATTTATGCTCTTGTTATCTATATTTTTTATTGTGATAACAATGCTATACTACCCCCCTCAATACAAATATCGTGCAATTTAATATTATTCTTTTGGGATTTAAATCCTCCTCTCCTATAATTTTTTCCCCATTTCATTACGGTTAGGCCACACTCATATTCTTTTTCTTTTCTTTTTTGTTGAAAGGAAAGTTATTTCCTTACTTTATCTCGCATCTTTCTTCAAACAATCAATACAAGAAAGATATTGAGGATTTGTGGTCGTCATCTATAAAGTTATTGTTATTATTATTATTATCATAGTTACTATTAGATCTGAAGATATCGATTACTGTTATACATACTAAAAAGTTGTTTTTTCTTGTTATTGTTTTTAATTTGTCTAGCTGATAAAGCTTAATTATTTTTTAGAAAAGTTTGTGACCTAATCGTTTTCCTTTTCATTTTATATTTCTATATACTTGAGTAGAAAAGGAACGAAAAGAATAAGGAGCCAATTCATTGCGCGGTTGGTCATTAATTTAACTTAATTAGTTTAAAGTCATATCACAACTTAAGAGCAAGTACGACGTCTGTAATTTTCTGAAGGTCTTCTTTCCCGTCTGTTGTGGAGTTTATCCAAAGACTTATCTTTATTAGCTAGTTTGATAATATTATAATCACGGGTTTGCAAAGCTTATCTTGAATTAGGTAGTTTAATGAACTGAGGAAAATATTGATGTTAATTTGGAGAGTATAGTCAATCATTTACCCACCAAATTGACATTTTCTTTGCTAAAGATGGAAACGAAAGGTACAACGCTGAAAAATATTACTCCTGTAACAATTTAAGCAAATTAATTAGTTGTTTGCCAAGTGCTGGAAAATATTACTATTCTATAGTAATACAAGTATACAACAATCTTTGATTTTTCGTTTTATGGTCTACTGAGATTGCTTACAGATGGTACCAATCACAGACTGTCAGATAATTTTCTTGACCTTTACATCACATCTATATGTTACAATTCTTGAAATAATACTAGTAGCTGACCCCAATGTGCTTGAGAGATTGAGGCGTATAGTAATTGTTGTTTTCCACCATCTTCATTCTTGAAATCCATCCCGAAGTATCCATTGTCACTGGAACTGAAAGGCTGGATTCACAAAAATTGGGACATTTCCATTAACGTTGGTACTAGTCATGTACTGGTGTGACAATTCCCCTAGCTGAAATTTTTCCATGGCATGATGAGGCACATTTCCAATATTAACATTGGTCATTGTGTTTTGGTTGTTAGCGTTGTATGAATTGTCATCAAATAGTTGTGAAATTGAACCAAAATAATCCATTTCCAATAGATGAGATAGTGAACAAGCCCTTGGCAATTTCAATGTTTGTGGTCCAGTAGCAGCAACAATTTCAACAGGATTAGTACTCAATATTTCTGGCTGTTTTGTATCTTCTTCAACTTTCATCATCTCCATAGCTCTTCCCAAATTCTTCTTCTTATAAATTCTACAAAGTACCCAATCATCCAACTGAATAAAACGAAGAAAAAAGTAAACATTTAGTCATGACAAAAACCCTTATAATATATAGTAGAACGGGTTTAATATATATACACTGCCACGAGCTATCAGTACGACTTAACATATTCTAGAAGTTACTTGTAATATGGATTATTAAATGTAATTATTACCCTTTAAAATGATCCGTTGGTGTAAAAACGTCTATACTAACAGAGTATACAAGTTAAACTATAGTAGTAAACAATTCCGAGGATTCAAGTCTTACCCTCATGGAGCCATTTAGCCTGATTGGTTGAGATCTGGATTCACTTAATCGATATTCATGCATGATCCAATCAGTCTTAATACCCTTAGGAGGTCTTCCTTCATAGAAAACAAGAGCCTTCTTAATACCAACATATTTTGATCCACTATAGATTGCTTTATCTGTGCCTGTAGCCTTCCAATAACCTGATACAGCTGCTCTATTTGGCCTCACTCCATTTGGGTATTTCCGATCACGAGGGGTGAAAAAGTACCATTCCCTTTCCCCAAATTCAGCTTTCTCTACAAGAATTTCATAAGAAAATTAATACAAGACTTAAAAGTCAACCAAACCAAAACTAAGTCTTTGAATTAAACACGATTCTATGAGTATACTAACCAGGCAATTCCCAAGGATCGAACTTATAGACATCAACTTCGGGGATGATTGAAACAGGACAAGGCCTTGAGGTTGCTTGATTACGAAGATAATACATGATTAATTCTTCATCGGTGGGATGGAACCTAAATCCAGGAGGAAGCTCCTCGGAGCAATTTTTCCCAACCATTTTTTTTTAAAAATGGTCAAGGAAATAAATAGAAGCGAGAAATATATATATTTATATATATTGTATGGTATGTGGAATAGAACAAAAACCCTTTTCAAATTCTTTTTGGTAAGCTAAGAAAGGTATTGAAAAGTAGGGTTCATGTAGGGAGGGGAGAGGGAATTTGATTCTATGTAAAAGGAAACTATTGAGAAGTGAGCGTTTGAAATGTTTGAAAGGAGAAGGTTGGCTAATTTATTCTCGAGGGTTTTTTGTCTTCTTGCTAATTTGATTACATAAGGGGTTTGGATATTGGTTGTTTTTGACTTGCGTACCTCGTATTATTGGTGTTGCAAATTAAACCATACTTGCAGGTTAGGTATATTACTTTAAATAATTTCCTATTATTGTTTCTTCCTCCAATGGATAACATATCGATGGGCATGGAGGAAGGGAGGGGGGAGGGGAAGGAAATCCTTAGTCTTATCTTTTTTTCTTGTTTGTGCTACTTTAACAAACTATCACTCCATGGCTTTTTCAATATTGAGTATCAATAAAAATAAAATTCCTTGCAAGAAATTGTAGTCCTGATCTTACATGCGAGGATGTAGCCTAGCGTTAATGAAGTGGGTGAAAATCACGTGATGTTCAAATTCCGACAAAGATAATAAATTGTTATTTGATTTCATTATGTGTGTCTAATCCTAAAATGATATAAGAAATTTCAGTATCTGTGTTGATAGAAGGTCATGCGTACTCGATAGAATAATCGAATTATGCACAAACTGTCTCGAACTCCACCACTAATATAAAAAAATTATCCTCATCCAGTGATTAAGGTTCGAGATTCAATTGTATGAGGAGGACAACTTACGAGAATTTTGGAGTTTTGGTATTATAGAGTTCTGATATTTTCGTCAAATCAATATATCTCTAATAGATGATGAATGGAACCGCGTCAGATAATAGCTAGAGAGAATCATTTGAGTTGTTGCACGACTAAATTAGAGCCCCACTACATTTGTTTTCTTTTGTTCCTTTCTAAAAGGAGAAAAAAGCGTCTCTTGAAAAATACAAGAACCTTTTTATCAAACTTATGTGCACTAGGCATTGTATATATATTAAAGAAAGTGACTTGAGAACAGTATCTGTACATGATTTATGAGGTGCTTGTCGTATATCCTAGCCAATTTATATGTTGTTCCTTTCATGTTTAAGAAAACAAAAATACATAAGCACAGTATGTCACGAAACGTTTTCCAGGTTTTGTGGGCGAATGGATGATAAAAATGTTTTAAATTGGATGAAATCATACCCTCAAATTAATGACATTATTATTACTATTATTATACTAAAAATCATTGCAAACACATTGTTGTCTATGAACTTGTCATGCATTCAATTCCTTATTTATAGCTTTCCTAACCTAAAATTTTTGTGACTATGTCAATAGATTTTCACATATTCCGTATAACATAAAAATTAATGTATTTCGTAAAACTTACCAATCTATTTCGACTAATGTGGATTGAAGTGGTAGACTAAAATGATTACATACAAACTCCAACACCACAAAAAGACTTCTTCATCTAGTTTTCTTTCCCTGATTATTTACAGAGACATACTCCAATTTTATAATTATATAATTATAAAGAAAATAATAAGTTATACGTATCTCAATTATTGGGTGACATCTTCGGGGGCGAAGTTAGCATGAAATACCGAATTCGAGAGAACTACTACTGTAACGATCCGGCCGGTTGTTTTGAGTATTTTATCCCCGATCCCTTATTTATTGCCTCCTCTATGTTATATTATGGTTATGTGACTTGCCGGGGTATTTGGCTTTGATTTCAGGTGAGTTTCGAAGTGAAATGGGACACATAGTCCCTAAGTTGGAAGATTAAGTTGAAAGAGTTGACCGTAGTTTGACTTTATGTTAATGACTCTGGAATGGAGTTTTGACGGTTCTAATAGCTCCGTATGGTGATTTTAGACTTAGGAGCGTGTCTGGATGTTGATTTGGAGGTCCGTAAGTCATTTCGACTTGAATTGACGAAAGTTAAAAAGTTGAAGGTTTGGAAGGTAAGTTTGACCGGGAGTTGCCTTTATTGATACCGGGGTCAAATTCTGATTCCGAAAGTTAGAATATGTTTGTCATGTCATGTATGACTTCTGTGCAAAATTTGAAATCAATCGGAGTTATGTTGGTATGAATTGGCATTAGTTTTGGAATTCGGAAGTTCATAGTTTCAATAGGCTTGCGATTCGTGTTTTTTATATTGTTTGATGTGATTTGAGGCCTTGATTAAATTTGTATCGTATTTTAGGACTTATTGGTATGTTAGGATGGGGTCGTGGGGCCTCGGGTGTGATTCGGATTAAGTTCGGCTTCATTTTTTGCTTTGTGGGATTGCTGGTTTTCTCAGTCTGGTTTCCTCTTATCGATCGCGAGAAGGGTCCGCGATCGCGAAGCTATAAGACTGGCAGGTATGAAGTTGTTCTACACGTTTGCGAGGATGGAATTGTGATCGCAAAGTTTGGGAAGTTACAGTTCCGCGAACGCATGAGTGGTGCCGCGTTCGCGATGAATGAAGATGAGGCCTGGGAAGGCTGACTCGTTGCTCTACGTGATCACATAAGTGTGACTGCGATGGCGTAGCTTTGGAGTTTCACTCACCACGTTCACGACCTTTGGAGTGCGTTCGCATAGGTCATTTTGTGAGGGCAGCATTTTTGTTCTTCGCGGTCGCAAAGAGGAATCACTAGGCAACAGAATAAAATTTTCAAAACGAGGGTTTCATCTCATTTTTCATAATTTGGACCTAGAGAGAGAGCTCGGCTTGTGGCAATTTTTCGAAAGTTTTTCAACGAAATCGTTGGGGTAAGTAATTCTAAACGGGTTGGACTATATTTCATGAATCTATTATTATTTACATCATCTAATTAGTGATTTGAGTTGAAAATTTGAGAAAAACTTGTAAAAACCTTCTAAACTAAATTTTGGAATTTTGAAAGGCGATTTGAGGTCGGATTTGAGTAATTCTTGTATGGTTGGAATCGTTATCGAATGCGTGTTCAGATTGTGTAATTTGGTCAGTTCCGAGACGCTTGGGTTGACCTTTTGAGTTGACTTTTTATTCCTTGCAAAGATCATAACTTTATTGTTCGAAATAGTTTGCTACAGTTTATATTTATGGTATGAAATTGTTTTGGCTAGATTTGAGTGGTTTGGAGTTGGATAATAGAGGAAAAGGCCTACTAGTTGTCAAGTTAGATGTTTTGAGGTAAGTGTCTTGCCTAACTTTATGAGGAGGGAATTACCCCTTAGGATTGGTGTTGTTTTGTGATAATTGTAATGTGTGGAAGCCGTGTACGCAAGGTGACGAGTGTGTACACGAGCCAAATGTAAAAATTTACCGATTTTAGCTATGCAGATTCTTTCATGCCTTAATTGAGTTATCTTAACATATTATATTCGTCATCATTAGTCTATTTTCACATGTTCTACTTGTCTTATCTCTTACTTGTTAATTGCTCTACATGTTTAGTTGAAGTTCTTATTTTCTTTATTCCATATTCATTATTTAACCGTTGAATTCCCTATTTGAAGCTGTTATTCTAGGAATATCTTATCGTTAAAATTGGTATTGAGTTATAAAGGCCGTGATTCACATTGAAGCAAAGTGTTAAGTTGTGCAATACTATTCTTGTTGAGTTATTCATTTTTGGTTGCTATTGTTGAGACTCTTGTATACATTGTGGTTGAGCCATGGGCTACTTATTATGAAAACACCGTTATTGTTGATTTCTTTGGCAAGTTGTGATATTGGACACTTGAGGTGCGATTTGTGATACGTTGTGATATTGATACACATGCGGTCGTATAAGGTTTTGGGGTTGAAACGCATGCAGTGAGATAAGGTGGGCTTGATACGCGTATTGCTAGTAAGGGAACTAATTGAAGTCACGCGGTGTGATAAGGTGAGCTAAAATGGGGGATGCTATTTCGGAAATAATGATTTTCAAAATTAAAAGCAAGGCTCCCGCGGTGATATAAGGAAATATTGTGAACTGTTTTGTGACTTGAGACTACGAGGCGGTACCTTGGTAGTGACTCTTGTTGATACTTCTCTATTACTTCACTTGTGTTTGGTTATTTCGTTTCCTTGGCCTAACATCCCTTGTTTTCTTCCGTGATAGTCAGTGTAGTTAATCTGGGTATATTTCTTAATTGTTTCATTTCCATTGTTATTATTATTACACTGTTAATTACTTGCTATGTTTCTTATTTATTCCAGTAGGTCCTTGACCTGACCTCGTCACTATTCTACCGAGGTTAGGCTTGGCACTTACTGGGTACCGTTGGTGTACTCATGCTACGCTTCTACACATCTTTTTGTGCAGATCCAGGTACCACCTACCAGTCCAGGCATCACTGAGGCGAGCTCAGTTCGGAGACTTTAAGATATACCTGCCGGCATTCGTAGGCCTCGGAATCCCCCTCTATCTAGACTATTTTATCTCCTTATCCTTTTATAGACACTGATGTATAAGGATGTTCAGTACTATCATATAGAGCTTGTGACTTGCATTCGCTGGGTTTTGGGAGGTTGTATATATTGAGTTGCAGAGTTTATTTTATATTAGATGTTGAGGTTTGAAACTTTAAATTATCATTTCGTTAATATTGTATGTATGTTAGGCTTACCTAGTCTTAGAGACTAGGTGTTATCACGATATCTTACGGAGGGAAATTAGGATAGTGACAAGTTGGTATCAGAGCTCTAGGTTCATAGGTTTTATGAGTCATAAGTAAACTCGGTCCTAGTTCAGCCCGAGTTTAGGGCAGCAATATCTAAGGAGGAGCAGATCAGGATCTATAGGTACAAGAAGTACCACCCTCCTACCTTCAGCGGCTTAGCTTCAGAGGACGCACAAGGTTTTCTTGAGGAGTGCCACCGTATCCTCCGTACTATGGGTATTGTGGATTCGAGTGGGGTTGCTTTCACTATGTTCCAGCTTAAGGGAGCAGCTTATTAGTGGTGGCAAGCATATCAGTTGGGTAGCCCGACCGAGGCAGCTTCATTCACCTGGGCTTAGTTCCCAGAGATGTTCATGAGGGAGTTTATTCACAAGAGCCTTCGTGATGCATGACGTGCAGAGTTTGAGCAGTTGAGACAGGGTGCTGTGACTTAAGGTAGCACTATTGGTGGAGGAGAATGAAGAAGGACATAGTGGAGTATGTAGATC